TGTTCTTTTTGAGGTCACATCCCCAGGACCTGTTGGTGTGTTCGCAGTGCTTACAGTCGTGATCTGTCTTCAGCAGGTGGCAGTTCTGCAGACTGAGAACATGTCTAGTGACAAATCTTGTGAAGTAGTTGTGCCAGTGTGTTAAAAAAACTTTCCTTTTCCAGGGCACTGGGAAAGGCAAGAAGGAAGTGCTCTGCTAAATGCATTATAACGTAGAATACCTGAGACTTGCTGCGAGAAATATTTTTCTTAGGACTTGGCATTTTCTCCAAGAACTTTATACAGTTAATCTTATCCTTTGTGAACTCATCAGGAATTGTATCATAACCATAATATTAGAAAATACTTTATTTCACATTTGCAAATCAAGAGAGATATTTAATTTGATTGTGAAATTTGATTGCAACAAGTAATTAATTTTGTTGCACGATTTGAGGAAGTGATACACGTTCCCTCCTGCCCTGCCCCATCCAGTTTACCTTGCTAGGAAACCTCCACTTCCTGTGCATCACGCACCATCTCTAAGCCAATGGTTCCTATTTAGACCTGGTCTAGACCTCTTTTGTGAGGTCTAGAGTCACGAAACACTCACCAACCTCATCTCTCAACTCGGACGTCTTTATACATCCCGGAGTTAACGTGTGCCAAGGAGGCGATCGCAGTGCTTCAGTTAGGCCAGACTGTTTCGGTGCCTGGATGGGGCAGAGTCGCTGTTTGCATGGACCTCTCTTCCTCGCCCCTGTGCTTGACTCACTGGACGCCCGGGCCTACTGTCTGCTCTCAGAGTACCCTGCCTGCCCTTTTACGACATCCCGATATTTGCCATTATATTCAAACAGGAAATTGTTGGTTTAACATCTGTTTATATGTTGACTGTATGTTTGTACATGTTGTCAGGCAAATGCTCCATGAAGGCGGCGAGTGACTTGCTCGCATCCTGAAGTTCTAGACTAGTTCTTGCTGTGTATGGCGTTCATGGATCAGCTGAATGAGTGGATGAATGGTGCTAGGGTTGTCACTAGCGTAAGGAGATCTCCATTCTTTTCAATAAGAAGCACATAATTGTGTTGTCGGTATTGATATTTTATGATGCTTTCTTTACACGAAGGCAGTTAATGTAAAATCTCTCCCTTATGCAAAATTCTTTGATTTTTCTCCTGGCATTAGAAAATTTTCTTGTGTCACAGATACTGCCGTCATCAAAGACGTTGCTGATGCTGGCTTACAGGCCTCTTCAAGTAGCACGTGCTTAGTGCTCCCTGTACACTCCCAGCTGCAGTCCCATTGGATGCACTGACGGAGCTTTACGAGACGTGACTTGCTTGCTGTGTCGTAGTGCAAAGTTGCCGCTACGTGGCCACAGGGATACCGGCCATTAATTGTATGGGGACGGCTAGAATAATCTGGTTCATATTCTGCCGAAGACAGATGGACATGATCATTCATTTTATGCCAGTCACCATCACTGAAAATTACGTTTATACTCTGCATGGCACACACAGGTCCCTGTGCTCTGGCTAGAAATTGTGCACAGGGCCTGCAGGCGTATACATACGTGCTATGCTGGTAACAGATAATGTATTCGTAGACTCACTTCAGGAGTCTTTTGTTACCAAGTTTTATCCCCCAAAATGTTTAAGTCTGAGCGGAAATGTTACCCTAATTCGGAACGGTAGAAGTTAGCAAACTTCCTCTCCAGCCAAACCTAAAGTCACATCGAATTCTTCAACTTACCAGTGACTTTTATGTTTGCTGATTTCCGTGGTGGCTGCTCTCCCGTTAGAGAGAGGTTTCTTGAGATACACGTGGAAAGGTACGAAAAGGCGAGAGAAGCTGACACCCAGCTTGAAGCAGTTGAGATTTTTACTACATGTTTTCAGCACTTTAGGATTAGTAGTACTAAATGTTTATTTGGGAGGTCATTTTGTTGTCTTAAAACGATCGAATGTTACTAGCAGATTCTTCCATGTGTGTTCCTAGAGCTCATTAAAACCTAGGCCGTCGACTGCTAAGTTATTTGCTATTTTACTTGATAGTAATCCTGCCTGGCATTATCAGGGCACGTGGGACCGTTCACGCCCCGGGACCGGGGTGGCACTTCTGCCTCTGCATCGTGCTCCTCAGTTTCACTTTTGCCTTTTAAGACCATGTTTTATCCATGTGCAACTCGTGTAGAAAAATTAGATGGTGCAAATAAGTAAAAATAAAAAAACCACAAATAATTCCATTGTTCTTTTACAGAGATTATCACTGCTAACATTTTGAGGTGTATACTTCTAGATTTTTTTCTATGCAGGTATGTTTTTCTGTGTGAATATATGTTATTTTAAAAAAACTGAGATTATACAACACTTAATATTCTGAAGTGGCCTAATAATAATCCATAGTTCGGAAGTACTAAAATTTATTTACTCAAACCCTTATTGTTGGACAGATTTTATATTATGGTTAGTACCATAGCAAGTTTTTTTTTTAACATACATCTGTGTTCCTTTTTCCATTATTTTCTCATAATAAATGATTAGAAATAGATATACTAGTCAAAGGGATATGTGGATTGTAAAGATGTTTGATGCATAAATACCAAAAATACAAAATTACATCTATTAGAATGCCTGTTTCCTTATGTCCTTGAAGATTTTTCAGTCTTGGCCAATCTGTCTGACAAAAGGTGTTATTTTAATTTGCATTTCTATGATTTGCTTATATTTGTTCTTCTGTGTTTTGTCTTTTGTGAATTGCTTATATGTGTCCGCTGGCACATTTTCCTTCTTACTCATAAATAAGATTCTTTAGATTATATCTCCTTGAGAATTTCTGAGCTAGTATTTATAATCATTGCTTTATATTTTTTCATTCATTATTCAACAAATAACTAATGGGAACCTATGTAGGAGTTTGCTATAGTTTGGACCTTTCTTCCTGATGATTCATTATAAGCCCCTATGTAGAGGAAACCTATTTTAACATGAAGTTGTAGCAAATATGAATTTAGAAGGCGCACGTGCTGTGAGGTGATATTTTAAAGTGAGTGGCTGACGTGGGAGAGTTTTGGGGGTTCGCTGGTGAGGCAGACTTGACAGGGTGGTGCTCCTGGGGTTTGGAGAGGCAGCTGCCGTGGGGAGAGGCCCCGGCCGGAATCAGCAGAGGTCTAAGTGGTCCCTCGGAAGAGGTTTGGTGGTAGACGCTGGGAGCATGGAAGCTCTAAGGCCTGACTCCTGTGGGCGAAACAGGAGGGCGGGAGAGCCCGCTGGGGCCAGACGGAGCCAGGAGTTACACTGGGAGGGTAAGGTCGCCCCAAGATGCACCGTGAAGTGAGTCCGGGGAGCGACCCTCAGGAGACAGGCCGAGAGGGCAGGGGCTAATGGTCTCCGGCCTCACAGGCTGGTGGTGAGGAGTCGCAGAGAGCAGAGGCCGAGCGCTGCTGTCCCGGCCCTCTCACTGCCGCGACGAGTGTTGGTCGTGACGTCACCGTCACCGTTGCTGCCTGGCCCTGGAGGTTGCTGGGAAAGGAGGCCGTGGGTTGGTCATGAGGTGAGCGGTGGTTTGGGGGATGAAGCACCTGGACGGGTCTCGAGCCCAGGTTAGCTGCAGGTGTCCTCGTCCTAGCCGTGGGCACCGGGCACGCTGTTCTTTTCCCTTAGAAGCCGCTGCCACTTGACTCTTATTGTTTTTATGGGTCTGGTTGTGGAGTAGGATCTATGATCTGTCCATCTCTCTTGAAGCCATAGATAGGATGCAGCCTACAGTTAGAGGACTAATACAATAGTACATGCAGGGCGGTCAGCGTGTGTAAGAAGGGCTTTGGCCGTGCTGGTGTGGCGGGATCTGTCCTCCGCGTGGCCAGCTTCCCGCGGGGTCCCCAGCGATGGCCGCGTCCTGGTATTTACTGCATCGTGTCGTCCTCTTGCACGTTGTGTGGCCGGTAGCATGTGGCAGAAGTGCTGGGTCATTTCCAGGTGTAGCTTGTAAAAGACACTGTGGCCTCCGCCGCCTCCTTCTCTTCCCCAGCGGCCTTCTGCCCCGGTCGCTCGCTCTGAGGGAAGGTAGCTGCCATGTGAGTCGCCCTGCGGCGAGGCCCGCTGGCAAGAAATTGAGGCCTCTGGACGACAGTGTGGCTGAGCCTCCTTAGAAGCAGGTCTTCCAGCCCTAGACCACCAGCTCAGAAGCGAGGGCCAGTGACAGCTCGACTGCAGCCCCATGAGAGACCCTGAGCCAGAGCCACTATTTATTTTCTCTTCCTGCACTGGCCAGGACCTTCAGGACCCTGTCGAATAGGGCTAGTGAAAATAGACATCTCTGTCCAACCTCTCCATGGTTTTAGTGTTCAGTCTTTCACCAATGAGGATAGTGTTAGTGAATGGGGTGGACGCCTGTTATCACTCTGAGGAGCCTCACTGTTCTTCCTAGTTGGTGGAAGGTTTTTTCCTAACCAGGAATGGTTACTAGCTTAGCCAGATGATTTTTTTCTACATCGACTGAGATGATCATGTGATTTTTACTTTTTATTTTAATATGATGAGTTATATTGATTGATTGATTTTTTTAATGTTAAACTAACCTTGCATTCCTGGGATAAAGCCCACAGGGTCATAACATATTACCCTTTTAATATATCGTTGAATTTGATTTGCCATTTGAAATTGAAATTTTGTTTAGTTTTTTTGCATCTGCGTTCATGAGCAGTGGTATTGTATTGCAGCTTGCCATTGTATATGTCTTATGTGAGTTTTCCTGTAGTACGAATACCTAGATGTAGAATTGTCGTTTTAAAGATAGATGT